GGCGCCAATAGTCCCAGACTTCTTTCACATAGGTCTTAAACCGGTCTATAGTGAGCAGGGACGTGTTACGTTTATAAAATTCTCTCCCTTGATCTGGCTTCTTCCGGAATGAGAAGATGGTCAGACACATTGCATGGTCCATCCCTGGGTGGGGACTGCATGGGAATATTTCTGTCATTTGCAGGGCCCCTTGCAATTCTTCTGAGATTAGAATCAAGTCAATGCGTGATTGGATACCTTCTCTGTTTAGTTTTTGCGAAAGCAGGTGAAGCTGCGCCGGGTAGGGAATGCTTGTCTGAACGTGTCTACGAGGTGGAGAATTTGAGTCAGGTACGCTATGGTCTTTTCATCGCTCTCCACGTAGAAGGGACAGGGGGATGGGATCTTCCATCTGTCTAACCATCGGTCCGGGGCTGCATTGAAGTCCTCTTCCATTATTATTGGTATGCCAATTGACAGTTTTCAAGTTTTGTTTCTAATCTTTCAAAGAAAACTTGTCGTTCTTTAGGCTCATTCGGTCCATATACATTTAGAATGTTGATCGCTTCAATTTCCAACATCGCGAGGATGTACACCCATCTCCCCTCCTCCCGGTCCGCCTCCCAGTTGAGTGGCTCCACCCTAGACCCCGAAGGGAGCCAAATAGCCACTCCTCCGCTGCTTAGTTTCGGGGCATGGGCTCGGTATGCCCGGTATGGCCAAATCTCTTTATGCACATGATTGTGTTCCGGGATGTCTGCCAAATGAGTTTCCTGTAGGCATACGACATCCGACCAATCCCTTCCTTCCACCCTTCTCAAAAGCTCCATGATCGTCTTCAGTTTAGTTGGTTTTGCAGATGCCATCCCATTTACGTTAAGTGACCATAAACTGTGTAACACCCCGTACGACGTACGGGGGGTTTATCGTATACGGCCGTATGTACAGCCCCGTACGAAATTAAAAAAAAAAAAAAAAAACAAAAAAAAAAACGTTTTTTTTTTAATCACAAATTTGGTAACAAATTTCAATATGACCCTGAGGCAAAAGTGTTTCAGTTTATATTTCTGCATAACATATTGTTTTTCCAGATTTTTTTGATTTTTCAATTTTTTATTTTTTTTTCGTACGTACGGTCTGTACGACCACATGAGCCCGTACGTACGGCCCATATTCGTACGGGGGTCTACATAGACCGTAGATCCAAATCTGCAATTCTTTTGTTGAGCTGCCATTGTTTTTCCTTGTTGTACAATGTGTCAACCACATGCATTTCTTATATCTCTCTTCCTTTTAATTGAGATCGGTTGTTTCTTCTCTCTCTTCTCTTTTAAAGTGGCAACCACAACTCTTTGTCGAGTGGGCCTCCCTTTTGCAGGGTGCCATTTGTTAATAATTTGATTAAAAGGGACCTGGTGTCTTCCTCCGACCAGGGATCAGAAACTTTAATCTTTAGTTATTGCAAGTCCATTATCATTTCTTGGCTAAACCAGCGTAGACCCTCTACTTTGGTCTGCTCATATCTCAAATATACGTCTTTAGCAGATAGTTTGTGCTTGACGTATGAGATCACCAGGGAGGAGGAAGCACCTTGTGGGAGGTGGTCATGAGTTAGTTAGGCTATATCTGATCTTAAGAGTGTTGGGCCACCTCCCCATGCTAAGAGAGAGAGGAGAAATGTCGATCGTCCTTTCAAAGTAATTTCCCCGTGAGTTGCCCTTGGTGGTACTGAGAGGCTTATTTATGAGGAGTCTTCCCCACGTTTGACCAGGATCATGACCAATCTTTTTTCCTAAGGTGTGTTCGTTGTCCCTCCTTTATCAAGCAGGTGATGAAGTTTCTGGCGTTTACTGGTGAGGTCTAGATCCGGAGGGTTTGGAGGGGGAAATTCAATGTCATTCCGTATTTTTCCAGATTTTTGTTGTGCGGGTATTTCTGGTCGCCAAGCGGCCAGTGCTAAACACAGAGTATTCCCTTCCACTTTCCCCCGTTTCCCAACCTCTTTCTTTTCCGTTATCGCCCCTTCTTCCATCGCCCCTGTCCTGTCCCCACTACTCCTTTCCTCTTTCGTTTGTGCCCCTCCCTCCTCCTTCTCCCCTTCTGCTTCTTCCATCGACCCTCTCCTTGGTTCTGGATTCTCTGTTTCTCCCCCTTCCTTGTTCTATGTTTTTCCGTCTGTTGTCATCTCTGTCCCTTGCTTTCCGTCTCCTCCTTCCTCCCGGCTTCCTCTTTTCTCTTGCTCCTTTTCTCCTCCTATTGTACTAACCTGTGCATGTTGCTTTGGGTTAGACCCCTCTGCGTTGGCCATATCTAGGTTTTTCTTTGTATTCTGTGAGGGGATTATGGCCAGGTCATGCCTCCCTTCTTCCGGGGTGCCGCTCTCGGCTTGCTGCTGGCGATTGAGGACAATGGTGAGTAGTTTTTGGCAGGTTTTCGATTGGTTCGTGCCATTTGGCAACCCGCTCTACAGAGCTAGTTGGAGTCTCTCGTTGTTTTCAAGTAGTGGGATCAAAGCCATGTATGTGTTATCCCAAAATTCTTCATTCCTGCCCTGGTATTTGATCCGCAGGTTGTCCATCAACCAATTTGTCAACTCCTTCAATCTGTCTCCTGATGAATTTTCTTCGTTGCCAGTTCGCGAGGTCTGTTGCCCCCCTGTGTGTGCAACGTCTTCCATTTCTATTTCCAGGGGGGTAGGTGGAGGGGGGCCACCTGGGACAACCTCTACTTTTATCGGTGTCATACCAAAAGCGTTAGCAAACTCGTCTTCCCTTACTTTGTCATTGTTAGACCCGGCGGAGCCCGTTCTAATATCTGTGTCTGTCTGTTTTGGTTCTTTCCTTTTCAATACTCGGCAACTTTTGACGCCCTCCCCTCTTTTTGACCGTACTGTCATTCTCTTGTTGGCAGATAGCCTCCCGCTGCTGGTCCCTTCACTAGTTGTTTTTGTTTCTTCTGCGCATTCCCTTGTTGTAGCTGTGGTTGCCCAGTTTGTTGGGACTTCAGGGGAGGTGTGGCCTCTGCTGACTGGGGGGGGTGTCCCCTATCCTCTGGGGTTATGCCGATCAGCCTGGTTTACCCTCTCGTTTGCTATCGGTTGCTCCCTGTCCCCGTCGGGGTTTCCAGTCGCTCGGTGGCTTGGTGACCCTACATTGATCTCCCCTTCCCTCCCACGTTCATCCCTTATCCCCTTTTGCATCCAGGTAATCCTGATACACCCAAGTTGCCCCAACCATCATGCCCTGGGTCTAGAGTGTACCATTTGTTCGGCCGATAAGGATCTCGCTGGAGCTTGCCTGCTGTTGGTCGAGTGTTATTCGGGTGCAGTGGGCATGCTGATTATGTACATAGGTGACCGTAGGCTCTGCACTTAAAGCACCAGGGCCGAAACTTGTGCGCAGTATGAATTTGGTGAATTTCCCCCCCCATTTAAAATGGGATCATATTATCGATAAAAGAAAGGCTGGCCCCTCGGGAGGTCCAGGGCTATGATCACATAATCATCCCTTTTGGCTACATACGATGGGAGTGGGTCAATGAAATCCACAATCATGCATTGCTGTGCCAGGTCGTGTATGAATGCGGTTTGTATTTCTACCGGGATGTGCCTCAGTTCAACCCATGAGTAGTATTTCATAATTTGTTTTTTTTTCCCCTCCGCGGATATGAATCCCCCGCGGTCATGACCGCGGGGTCAATCTCGGCCCGCGGTCGGGATCCCGACCGCCGAGGTCGGCTGCGGGCAAGGGCCGCGGTCGAAAAACCCTGACATTTTTAATTCCTAGAATAATAGGCAAAAAACAAAACAAAAAATATGGGGTTGTAGTTTTTTTTGCGCTCTACAAGCGTATATTTTTAGTTTTATTTTTTGACTTCGTTTTGGATTTAAAAAAAAATGAAAAACAGAAATCCCTCAGGCAAAAGTTCTTTACTTTATTCTTTTAGTAAATAAAATAAAGGATTTTTTTTGTTTTTTATCTCAAATTTGGTAACGAGTTTTGATATGAACCCAAGGCAAAAGTTGTTCAGTTTATTTTTTTGGCATAACATATATTTTTTTCAGATTTTTCTGAATTCTTTTTTTTTTTTTTTTTTTTTTTTCCTTGACCGCGGACCGCGTTCATGACCGCGGGCCCGCGGTCGCGACCGCAGTCCGCGGTCGTGCCCGCGGTGACTGCGGCCGCGGGGGATTCATAGCTCCGGGTAAGCTTTTTGGGCTGCCATGGGTAAATGCGTACTTCTGACCTTTCCCATCGAAGTCTTTTCCATCGATCCATTCGTTGTTTATCTTGTGTAAATAGACTGAGAATTGTGAAAAAGGTTGATGACAGGGGCTGTATCAGAAAAAATTCCTGGACAGGTTCAGGGCTGCACTTCATTTCCTCCAATCTTTTGCAAATCCACCTGATTTTGTCATTGACTGATTTCTGTGCAATTTCACACCCAAGTACTAGCATGTTTGGTGTATGCTCGGTCTCTTTCTTCTAGTCTTTCAGTTGGGTAGGTTTTCATGATAGTTTTCTGTCCTCCTCGGTCTATCACCTGGCTCTTCGACGGTAGGAGGAAGAGGGTGAGGAAATCTGCTCGTGCCGATGAGAGATTTTTCAACGACACTTTGAGACCCTCTGCAATCCCTTGTTGAGTGTCCGTCATGGATCGATTTATGGTTGAAGTCTTGTCCTGCATCGTGTTTCTCACCCGTTGTGCCCATGTAGGTATTGCTTCCTCTTTTGTTGAATTTTCTTTTTTCGTTTCGGGGTTCTCCCCTTTTTTGCCCGCCTCCTCTTTTATCTCTCCCTTAGTTAACATTTCATCCCCTGTGGCGACCATCATCTCCCCGTCTACCCCCCTTCCACCCTCCATTCCCTCTTTTCGGTCTTGCCGGGGGTCTCCCTCCCCCCTTTCCCCTTGTGTCCCGATCTCTTGGTCATTCAGGGGCATCCCAATATCCGCCCAGACATTCTGGTAAACTCGGTCGACTTGAGTTCTTTGGGTGGCCTGATCTGTTACCGTAGTTACAAGTGCCCCATTTGCCAGCAATACAATCATGGTCACATTTTGAGTAACTGTGATGGGATATCAGACCCGCTTGCCAACATGTGTTTCTCCCAACAAAAAGAGTACTAGAGGCATTGACGAGCCGGTATAGGGGAGAGATCGACATGTTAAGGTCAGTGTCTGGGAAGGGCAGCGCAAAGCTGTTGCTCACAATGACAAATTCTCCACGGACCCACTGAGCGTATGTATTAGTTACAAGCAATCTTTGGAATGGTACAAATAGAATGTACCCGGTCCATCGATTCACAGAAGGCAAGCATATACCCGCCCACCACCACCACCACTAACAACAACGATGACGACAACAGCAACAACGACAACAACACCCCTTGTATATTCACCCCACCCGACCACCTGTACGCAATGCTCGGATGACGTTAATTATGATCATAATCATTGACGCCACTGATTAATCGTCGATGATCAGTCACACTGATAATGATAATCACCATAATGATGACGATGATGACAATGATCACAGTGACGATGGCGACGACGATGACGATGACGATGATGATGGCGATGACGATGAGGATGAGGATGACACTCTTCTCGTCCACAGATGCATGCATCTGTCCGTATGGGATGATCCTTACATACTCTCCCCAAAGTATTGGGCTCCTTCAAGTTGCACTGTTGCAGGTCTCCCTCAAGTTCCCTTCCTTTCTGTGACAGCTTGTCACAGAATCAATGATTATTGATCACTCTAGCGGTGGCTTGCTACTAAGTTGCTAGTACCCCCTCTTGCAGAACTTCCGGAACAATTGGGGCTTGAGAGCATTTGGATTGTACTTGTTCTTGAGGTAGCAGCAGTACTTGCCTTTGACGTAATCAGCTGGCTCGGTGACCCAGACAATACCCTCGCACCATTTCTCTCGATAGCACAGTGACTGGCATCCCAATTGAAGCTGAGCAATTGGGATCTTAATGCAGTCGACCCGCCTCCTTGTGTTTGGATCGTGGTCAGTGTCATTCCGGCACCAGCCAGAGACGAAAGGTACCAGAGCAATCAGGAAAGCGACAGAAACAACAACGACGAGCGCCGAAAACCACTTCATATTTTCCTGTAGTTCGGTAATCTGGGAGTTACGCGAGAGAGCTGCAGGGTGACGACACCTGGCAAAGGACCCATGCACGCACAATATAAACCGAAGATCAGCACAAGTGGGCAGAGCACAAGAGGGGCAGTGAGGAAAAGGAAGAGAAGTGTTGAATGCTTGAAGTTCAGTTCTCGAGATGAAAGCATAAAACAAACGAGTACAAGGAACTTAGCTGGGGGGGCATTGAAAGACAAGGGTGTTTCAGATAGCACACCCATGACACCAATACTTCTAAATTTGGGTCATTAAAAGTGCTGTAAGGGTACTAAGGGATCACTGGCCAATGGCGATTCCTGCTTTTTCATACGCTGCAAAAATATTAATTATTCAGTTAATGACAGTTCATTGTCAATTATGGTGTTTTGCACTGTTTTCCATTCTCTTTGACATTATGAAGTGGTGTCACTTGCAGGATCCTGTACTGTATTCCCTTCGATAAACTCACTGAAGTTGATGCAGAGAGAGAGAGAGAGAGAGAGAGAGAGA